TCTGATTTTTCACTTTTGCTTATTTGTATCCCCATGGTATGTGAATGGGCACATTTTAGACAGGGATGTCGTGATATAGGACACACGCAGAGAAATTTTCTCAATTGACTTACTGATATCAGAAAAGCAAACATAATAAACTAGTAAGCATTTCCTTAAAAATCATCCCTTCTCTTATAGGCTAATCAATCTGTAAGTTAAAATTCTTGACTTGGAGAATGCTGTGACAACCAGTAAAGAGACAACAAGGACAATACCCAGAGGTCTCACCATCATCTTAAAATACTGCCCAGTCGGAGAACCCTGAGCTCCATCTCCCATACCATTTAGAGAAATCCCTGTTCAGGAAACTGATGTATAAGCCCCTTCTTTAAAGCCAAACGTCCTGAGCGTGGACACTCACATCATCAGGTATGGCTGACCTGCCACACTGAGGACTCTGCAGTCTAATGCTTCTGCTTACAAAACACAAATCCAGTCGACTTTACATAATCATGAGCTCTCTGCTTTCACAGCCTCATAACTCGTCACTGATTTGTGGTCACTGTGTCCTTCGGGGTTCATGTGTGTTGCAGGGCGGCTAAAAAGGAAACTGGGTTATGAAGTAGCGTGGCTCTGCTCACAGTGGCTCTGGTCCAGGGTAAAACACAAATGAGATGGAACTAAGGGCAAGTGACACTGGGAAACAGCTGGAGACAGTAGAAATTCAGGCGCTATTTCGAAGTCACAGATTGGAGACATCCAAAGGCCCGTGTAGCTTCTTGGAGTGGCTACCCTGGTCATTTACGGATTTGGGAGGAAGCTGTTGAACCCCAAGGGCTCCTGTGCCACCAAGTGGCAATCATGTGTCCACTCAATCATTTATTTGGTAGCTACTGGATATGTCCTTCCTGCCTGGATGGAGAGACAGAATAATCTCCCTCCCACCTGCCTGCTCTACAAGTCTAACAGGGGGTGAGCAAGGCAGTGGTGTTCTCTCAGTCTGCTCCCCAGTCAGGTACTTAGGAGGGGCCTCAGCTCAAGGGACCATGGAGCCACAGAAAAGGTCAAAAAGCCTCTGCAGAGTACCCCAGTAGATCTTCCAGTCTCACAACTCCCCTCATCCCACACATACCCATTGGGAATTGGAGTCTGCTATGTCCAAGATCTTGCAACCCCAAAGAGAAGCTCTACAGACACAGGAAATCATCATAGGGAAAACAAAGGCCAAATGAAGACCTGAAGATTATCCTGTCATTTGAGACTCTGTGCTCAGACACCATCATCAAATCATCATGCTTGTTCTTAGATACTAATAGCTATGTAATATTTTGATGTCAAAATAGGTGACATCAAAATAGGTTTTCATGGCAATAGTAAGGTAGGGCAATATAAATCAATAGGTTTTCATGGCAATATATGTCTTTCAATTTCTATACAAAGAGACTGAGTACTAACTAAGTTCAATAACTTGCCCAAAATTTATAACCAGTCTTCTGAGCCTAGGGCCAGTCCAGTTTCTAGGAGAGGAGAGCAACCTCTTAACATGCATGATATCTGTGGATAACATCTGACTATATGCGCAAACTCATTCTTTTCCATTGCAAGACAGAAAAGTTTGGACAACCTGCACAACAACACAACTCAAATCCCAAAAAAGAATAAACTTGCACCTATAAGGGACAGAAACGTGGCTCTTCACCAATGCTGTTAACTAAATTATGCTAAATGAGATTTCTGAGCATTTTTGTTTTCTTTGTTTTTTCTTGTCTTGGGTCATACCTAGTGATGCACAGGGATTACTCCTGGCTCTGCATTCAGAAATTACTCCTGGCAGTGCTCGGGGAACCATATGGGATGCTGAGAATTGAACCCAGATTGGCCGAGTGCAAGGTAAACGACCTACCTGCTGTGCTATGCTCCAGCCCTGATTTCTGAGCATTTTTATATTAAACGCTTAAGAGGCAACACACACAGACACACTCCATGGGAGAGAATACACAGGACATAATTCATGTAGACCACAAGAATGATTGTATATAGATCATATACTTTATGTGGATCATAAGAATGATCTACAACCTACTGTCATTGTCACGTCTCTGCTGTGACACAGCTCCAGAGGGATGCCTGGTGGGCATAAGGCCTCAGCCCGGGACTTGTTCTCCAACCTCCTTCCCAGTCTTTCCCTGGCTGCTTTGGGTTCTCTTCAGGTTTTCCTGACACCTCTCAGCTTACCTTACCTGTTGCTGCTCAAAATTCTTTCCTTATGAGGTCTATGAAGTAGCCTGAAGTTACCACGGAAAACCAGAAAGCAAGCTAAGTCAGGAGAGAAACCTCCATTAAGTAATTTAAAAAAACCCCACCAATATACATGCATGTGCATGTATACACAGAGAACACACATTGTATCTAACTGTCTTTTCAATACACTCCTGCTTCTTTCATGGTTGTTAACTTGGCATGAAACAGAAGGAAAAGGGAGAATGTCCATGAGCTTTAGAAACAATGTGGGAGATGGGATGACAAGACGTGTTTGGGGACTTATGATATATTTGATTGGGTTTGGGCTTGGAGCCATAGACTTTTATATAGTTTAACCTTGGCCTAATGATTCTGACTATGAGCTGACTGGTTCTGACGGCAAATATCTTCATGTCAGAAGGGGAATAAAAACAGCAGGAGTACATCAGCAGTTGGTAAGCGGGTCCTTCCTTCAAACTCTATAAAGAGTTCTCATAATGGTTTCTCATCAAATCCGAAAGTTCTGACACAGAGATTTCCCTTCCCTCTCTTCAATTTGTATACTCTCACACACAAATAACAGATGATGATATGACCAAAACCTTAATGGGTCTTTGCTGTTAGAAAGTTTATATATTTAAACTGAGAGCCTTGTTTCATGCAGGGGAGAATTCAAGATCTAACTTCTCAAAGAAGATGGAGCAAGCTATGTTAATAAAAGTCTTGACAAGTGACCCATCCAACTTCCCTTAGAGGGACGGGCTATGCAATAATAATACAAAAATAGACATTTAGGCTTTTATTTATTCTTCAGTTCTAAAAATGACTCTTTCCTCAGCTATTTCCAGAATAATTCACAAACAAAAAAGAAAGGCAAAGGCCCCTACCCCCACCCCCATGCCCCCGCAAAACAAAACAACAAACAACAACAAACCTTTTGCTTCTGAAGCAGAGGAGGGCACATTCTTCAAGAAGCTAACATTTGGGCTTTGGTAAAAAAACCAAAGTCAAAAGGTTTCCACCCCAGAGTCTCTTCTCTACTTCTAAGAATTGTCTTCACACCCCCTCCCTGTGTAGGCCTCCTCATCAGTGAAAGGACGAGGAGGGTCCTCCATCAGAAGGGGCCACTGGGGTCTTAAGAAGGTACCAATTCATCTCCCACTAAGCCCACTGGAAAGTTAAGAAAAAGCAACAGGGGCTTAAAGATTAAGTACCATCCAAACTCACTGTGCCCACTTTCTCTGGAAACCAGAGCCCACTTTTTTCCAGAGAGGAAAGCCCTTGCTCACGTTCCTCTAGGTACTACCACTGGACCCACTCCATCCGGGAGGAGTATCAACTGCCACATCCTCCAGCCACGGTGATACTTGGAGGCTGCTTGTGTGTCAAATTTAGTCTATGAAAACTCAACTGGAACATTTTAGAACTGTTGGAAACAGAACATATCTTTTCCGTGGAAGCCCGGGAGCCATCTCGTCCTCATGAGGCGAGCATGCAGGAGGAGCCGCTAGTTAGACCAAAATGATGGGAAGAACAGAGTTGACTTCTGATGACCCGGTAAAAGGCCATGACTTGCCTGAAGCCAGCCCCAGGCAAGGACATTGCAGGTATGTGCACCTGTGAGTTTCCACTGGCGCTCAAATTAGCGCGTGTTGAATTTCTTTGTCATCGGTAACCAGGAGCCTATATTCTCAGTAAGCAATTCTGAAAACCAATCATCCATTCAAAGCTAGATCGGGGCATTAGTGAGTCAGTGATAGTATGAATGATGCAAAGCTAAAGAAAAATTAAATAATGCCAAATCCATAGCAAAAGCTAATTACAATGAGTCCTCTGATCAGTTTTTACATCCCAGAACAAGGTACACTATCTTGCAGCCTCCAACAAAAGAAAGATAAAACATTTGACAAGTTTATACCTAAGTATTTGAAGTACCATTCATCTTTTAGAAACTTTCCCTCAGAAAGAAAAGTAGAGGCATCTTATTCTTGGGCTTATTTCATGAAAATCAGTGTCCATTACACAACAATACTTCTACCAATAGTAGAAGGGTCTGCACTTTGACCCAGGATGGTAGCCAACATTGATCAAACCATCTGCTCTAAGTCTGTTGTTCATTAAGTGACTGCAAATGAGGGTAAAGACAACAAAAATGAAAGAAAAATTTTCCTTATGAAGTACAATTACTTGGACAGAAGTCAAGCTAGCCAGGAAAATTTTATTGTTTTTTTTTCTTGAATTTTTCATTTCATGGCAGGACTCAAACCAGACCCTGGAATTCAAATTGTCCATTCAAAGACGTGATTATACAGAACTCAACTTAAATTGCAACTTTGGTTCTGATGATCAAAGTTTTAATTTGCCACTAGTACCTATTTCTCCAGAAAGAGAAAGGGCAGTGATGGCGTATTCTGTTCAGTGGGCTTAGAAATGCTTTTCCAGATCATGCAGATTACATTTATAAATGGCAGAATTATTTTTCTGAGTCTCATTGGGGGGAGGAAAAATAAAACAAAACAAAAAAAACCACACAACAACAACAAAATCATATTCTTCTTGACTGATCTTAGTTCATAATTTCAAATGTTGCCCATTAAACAGTGCTCAGTGGAAAATTCCCAGCAGGTTTGTATATAAGGCAGTATGACCATCACTGACAGATTATACCAAAGAATTGTTGTAAAGAATTTTCCAGTAAATGCTATAGAGTTAGCTGTGCAAGCGAATCACACCCTAGGAAAAAAATGTGCAAAAGGAACACCCACATAAACATTTACCTTCCACTGCTCTTTTGAAGAACACTTTGCAGCTGCCACAGGTTACCACCCCATAATGACATCCTGAAGCCTCATCCCCACACACCAAACATATTTTGGAAGGTCTTGAGGATCCAGTAGAAACACTTCGTAAAGTAGAGCTGGGGAAAGAAATCAAGATTCATGTAACTACGCTGCAATGACACATGGCATATGCTGTAAAGCTTATTAGCGCAAAATGTCATCAATCACGCTTCCAGAAATGAAAATCAATTCAGGACACATCAGCCCCTACGGAGTAGCGCACGAAGGCCAACCCCATCTGGGGGAGTAACACCCTGGAGCATTCTGGGTAGCAAAGACTCTTCTTAGGCTGGAGAAATGATAATCACACAGAAATTTTTTTGTATTCTTCCTAGGCCTAATTTTGGAAAAATGTAACCCCCTGTCCCCAACACCCCAACTATTACTTGCATGCCAGGTGGGCAGGAAAAAGAATCCTGAGCCAAGTCATCCTGGACATATTTTTGGGCATCAAAGAGCTATTAAAATACTTCCTAGCTCTGTTTTTTCACCCAGACTATATATCTCAATTATGCCAGTTTTTTTCTTTTTTACTTCTCCTTTACAAAACAATGGACTTAGAAAACAATTGCCATGCTATCTCTATTGCCAACAGTCTGAGCCCTGTGAGCTTCTGCATTGTTTCTCAAGTTACCTTATATAAGTAAATTCAAGGCAAATCAAAGTATTTCTGTTTGCTTACTCAGCTGAAGATGCGGAGTCACATCTGGTAAATTATCAGGTAGCTCTCTTGGAAAAAAGAGAAAGGCTCTGGGGCCATACTTTTCAAGAAGAAATGTAACCCCCCCAAAAAACAACAATCTGTAGGAATTCTCTTAAAGGGGCCCCATCTCATGAGAACGCTCGCTGTGCATGCTAACGGTGTCCTCTTAATAGTGGTTTGCGTTTGACTAGGGAACTCTGTGACAGATGTACACCACACAGCAAAGGAGCCGATCCTTGTCATTCGTGGCCCCCAATCAGTGCATTTGCTGAATAGCTTCCTGTCGGTCCCATGCATGGCACTGAGGACACTGATGTGAAGGGGCCCATCTCTGTCCTCAAAGTTCAAGGGCATGTGAAGGACCAGGGTCAGGGGGAAAGAGGTACATTGTGGCTTCCACTGTCCTGACTGGGAAAGGGGCAGGGGGGATCCTCGTTTGAAAGCACACCCTCAGAGGGGACAGCTGGCCTGACTTTTGAATCACGGGTAGGTAGCTGCCACATGAGGTCAAGGGACAGAAAGCAGCATGCACTGAATTCAGGCGTGCGTAGAAACAGGGTGGGTTGACTGCATGTATCCCCTGTCACGCAGCAGTCCCGTGCAGGATAAATGTGCAAAGGAAATACCAAAAGGTGACAGCCGTTATGGGACAAGGCTGATGGCTCTGTGTTCTTGTCTGTTTTTAATGGGCTAAACTGTGGTGATTCTGCCCTGATCATTAAAAAAAACATTGATTTTAAATGTTTTAACCACACTCTCACTAAAAATAGATGCAGGAACAAAACCAAGACTGTGCTCGGAGCACTGTAGCATGACAGACTTTCTAGAAAATGAGTTCTTAAATCACGGGCTGAAACAATGTTCTCTAAAGTTGTTTGTCCTTCTGAGAAAAGTGCTCTTTATGATTTTTATTAGTGTCCTTTGACTTCTTTATGGCATTCAAAACATTCCATTTCAGCCCCAGTAACTTCTTCAGTGTATTAGCCAGGCAAACTTAATCTACAGTCTGTCCGGCTCGCTTATACTCTGCAGGAAAATACCATGACTTTGTAAAACAGGGAGCCGAAGAAAAATCATCATTGAAACAGCAAATGCTTTTCACAACTATAAACACGCAAGGGATTTGTGCTGAATGTATTTCTGAGTCTTGCTCTTGGGTCCCCTAAAAATTATTTAAAAAATTTTTCTTTACTGAATTATAGTTAAGTTACACATTTATAATAGAACTAACGTTTATGGTCTTGATTTACATAGTTATCTTACCATGACCAAAGTACCCAAGACCCTCTAAAGTCTCCTTGTCCCCTCCCCCCTCACTTGATGCTCCTCCAAATCCCTGGCCATCATTTGCTACTGCCCACTCCTCCATTCCTTCTTATCTCTGTACTTGGTCCTCAAACTGAACTGCCCTTTAGCTTCTGTGGTGAGACACCCCCTCTTCTTTCTAAACTCACTTCCCTCTCTGATGTCTTGGTTCTTGAGGTCCCTCATGTGTCTGTGATGCCAGTACACCCCCACCCCTGCTCCAGATTTCTTTATTCCTTTATCTCTGTGGTTGTCCCTTGGCATGAGAGTTGGCACCTCGGGACTAAATAAGCCCCAACACAAGCTGAGCATCTGCATCTCCATGCCTGCTTGCTCCACAGAACCTCTCGTCCCAGTCTGTAGAAAGGCTTGGGGTTCAACTGTGTCCTGTGCAAATGCCTGTGTGGAAGCCCCAGTCCCCTGAGACTTGAGGGGGTATCAAAGATTGATATTTCTTTGGGTCACGGTCATGGTCCTCCCGTTGTTCATCGGTTTGCTCGAGAGGGCCCAGTAACGTCTCCATCATGAGACTTGTTGTTACTGTGTTTTGGCATATCAAATATGTCACGAGTAGCTTGCCAGGCTCTGCCATGAGGGCAAGATACTTTAGGTAGCTTGCCGGGCTCTCCGATTGGGGCAGAGGAATCGAACTCGGGTTGGCCATGTTGGCCGCTTGTAAGGCAAACGCCCTACCACTGTGCTATCGCTCCAGCCCATTTCTTTGGGTACTAATATAAATCATGACAACAGGAGTAATAACTGGGGACCAGACCCACACATGGGGAGAATGGCTGTGAAGAAGGCTGAGGTTCTTGCTAAGCTAAAGCATGACAGAGGTGGCTAGCAAACCATAGGGGGAAGGGAGGGAAGGAGGCAGGAAGAGAGGGAGAGAGAGAGAGGAGAAAGGGAGGGAGACAGACAGAGAGAGCAAGGCGGCCTGGTATTTCATTTGGAAACAATAAAACAATATTTGTTTTGAAATATTGAAATGAAAACAATAGCTTTGTTTCTTGAAAAATTAACGCAAACGTGCACCAGCTGACCTTCTTTTTCACTAACAACTCTTGATGACAAAGAATGGATTCTGAAGTTCCCTTTCTCAGCTTGTCCGCCTCGCAGGGTTCGAGAAAATGGTGCGAAGCATAGCACTTGCTCCTAGAGTCCCCTTTACCGTCAGGCTCTTTTCAACGTCTCCATCACTAGTGTAGACTGTCTTTGGAGTCCTGCATTAAATGTCTTTTTTCTTAGTTCTAGTCCTGCAAGTAACAACCTCCACCCTACCCCATCTCTCGCACCTCTCTCGTAAGCACCTTCCAGTATCTTAATGGCCTGTTTCATCTTTTATGCCAGCTTCCTTATGTCTCTGATGTAAGCTCTGGATGCACCCTGCCACCTGCCAGTCACTGGGTGTCTCAGCCACCTGCCAAGACCATTCCTCATGGCTGATAATGCAATGGACATTCACACTCGGCTCCTTCCCCCCTCCCCCCCCCCACACACTCATTGCATCTCCTCATCTGCTGCTGAACTCGCATGGTGTCCTGTTCCCCCTGAGCTGCACCCTAGCTGCACCTCTCCACTGTCCACTTTGTTCCACAGGGGCAACGAGTGTTCTTTGTCAAGTTCTGATCCTATGACTTCCTAGCAGGGTCATCTTCGACTGTCCCTTCTCCAAGCCACCATCCAGGATAACCTTACAAAATAGACAAGCCCTCTTGGTCCTTACCCTTCTCCTGGACCAGCTCTCAGCTACCCTGATGTGCCAAGCTCCATTGGCGACATACAGAGTATGTGCTGACCATCCTTCCTCTTCTCCCTCTCCACCCAGCCTACAAAATTCCGCACCCTTGATGGACTCCTGATGTTCTCTCAGAAGGCAGCACCACCCGCCTTCCTGCTACCTCTGTGCCCTGGCCAATCTCGCTCACTAGCCATTGCCCCTTCTGAACTTTCCACGAGTGCGAATAGCCTAAGTCCCAGAGGACTGAACCCTCATGCTCTCCATCGCCTGCTCCCAGCTGTCAGAAGAGCAGTGCGGGGACTATCTATTGAATGGACGAACTCCTACCTCTAACCTCATTCCAGCAGAACATACATTTCCAAAAGGCGATTTTACAAAAGGTAAATTAACGAGGCCAAGGTTAGAGGTTAAATTTCCATATGGTTCATTTACCTTTGCACAGACGGAGAGAGAGAAACACACACACAACAACAGCTCAACAACATGCAGGGCCAGAGAGTTGTCTCCAAAGCTCAGCTCGCTCTCTCCCCGCATATGCAACACTAACTCAGGGGGTAGGTCACAGAGTGAGGGTCTGTCAGAATACCAGTCTCCCCTGGCAGCCCCCCTCATGGGTGCATCTCAGAAATGGAAATGGGGGCACACAGGTGTGAGGTTACAGATGACCTTTCGAGAATTACATTGGCATATTTCAATATGGGAAAAGAAAGGAGACAAATCTAGAACTCTCTTCAGAGGTAGCGAGTGTTATCCAAATGCAAAGCTGATTTGATAATCTTCTGTGCCAGAATTTACCCTAGTGTAATTGATACCACAGGCAGCAAACAAAGCAAAAAGAACCAGTGAGGGGGCCTGGATTCCACGGAGACTCAGCCATACTCTAAAAGCCCTTTGCAAAATCACCTGTTGTCTTTGGGCTCCAGTTCTCAGCACGAAACAACATTAGAGAGATCATCTCTAAGATATGTTTGAAGACACCCTTTCAGGAGGAAGACAAGTACAAAAGATAAATGGTGTGGGCTGCCATCATCTAGTTTTACCCAAACTGGATATCAAGCTCAATGAAGATGGTACACTAAACACAGTAAGTCATCATTATTTTATCTGGACCAAGCAGCAGGAAAACAGCTCCATGTGAAGATGTGTTCTTTCTAAAACAGTTCATTGTTTCCCCTTTCTGCAGCTCTACAATGACTTCTATGGGGATTCTGACTAAAATTTCTTTATAAATATGCATTTAAATGGTACTATTTTCTATCCCTCTCCATCCAAATTATTTTTTAAATTGACAAGGTGGGAAAAGGGATCCAAGCCAGTCACTTTTGGCA